AAGAATGGGAGGCAAAGCCGGTTGCAGTGGTTCATGCCTGTAATCCCAGCACTTTGGGAGGCCAAGGTGGGTGGATCACCCACGGTCAGGAGTTTGAGACCAGACTGGCCAACATGGTGAAACCCCGTCTCTACTAAAAACACAAAACTCAGCCAGGTGTGATGGCATGCACCTGGAATCCCAGCTACTCTGGAGGCTGAGGCAGAAGAACTGGCTTGAACCTGAGAGGCAGAGGTTGCAGTAAGCCAAGATCGCGCCACTGCACTCTAGCCTGGGTAACTCTGTCTCAAAAAAAAAAAAAAAGAATGGGCAGCAACAGATATGACAAGCAGCAAGATTATGTCTGTACAAACTTTAGCTAAAAGTTACCAAATAGATAATAAGATGTTTAAAATAATGGCATAAAAGAAGGATAACACAAGGGAAAACACCCCAAGGCACAATGTGTATAAAAGAAAGATTTTCTAGAAATGCCAAATAATGATGACTAAAATTAAAAGCCCAATGGATGGATTGACCATCAAGATAGACAAGGTGATTGCACTAATCTATCCTCGGACTAGTGGGGCAGAGTTTGTCTCTCCGTGTCTTTGCCGACTTTTGAGAGTAGTACAAACTAATACAGATAGGAACGCTGCAGGTCACATTGTCTCATTACAGAATTGAGCCCATCCCAGCCAATATCGTCCCTCTTATGGTTTCCTGGGATTCCAAATTTGAGACCCAGACGGACTTGAGAGCTCGTCCTCTTGGTCTGGTTTTTGGGGAAGTCCCTGAGAGTATTTGGTCGTCGGGGCCAGCAGGGCTCTCCCACACTGACTTCCTGACAGAAGGCTGCTCTTCCTCTCTCTGGTTCCCACACCCAGAAGCCTGTTACCCAGTGGCTTTGACATTCTGCTTTTCCTGCTTCTAGTCTTAAATACACTAATCCCCAGATTCTCTTGTGCGCCCTCTGCACCTCTTTCAGCCCCTCCCTTTCCCCTCTGCAGTCCAGGTTTAACCCAGCTCTCATCATTCCTCTTCCTGTCAGCCAGTCTGACCCAGTGCAGACAAATGCAGCTCTAAAATCAACATGCAGCAACCATAAAGCCCAGCCAAGAGTTCTGTGCTGCACCTACAGCTGGAAAGTTTCAGCAACCATGATTTTCTAAACCAAAGCTAGACATGTTGCCTGGCAGAGGCTGAAAACCCAGAAGCAGTATGGAGTATGGTTAGAGTATGGACTCCTGAGGCAGAATCTTACTTAGATTCACTGCTTAGCTGTGTGACCTTGGGCAAATCACTTAGCCTCTCTGTGCCTCAGTTTTCTCAAATGTAAAACAGGGATAATAGTGCCCACCTTATAAGGTTGTTCAGAGAATTAAATGAGTTAGTGTATGTAGTCTTTAGAACAGTGCCTGACCTATAATGAGTGCTGTATATGTTAGCTACCATTGTTATTAATACTTGAAATTGGCACTGTCCCAGGAAATAGCAGATGTCAGCCATGTTCATGAAATTAGATATGAGATAGTAGAGTGTCAGAATGCGTAGCCTTACTTACAAAGCTAGTATTTTCTTCTATTCTTTCTCTCCTTCTCAAGATTTATCCAATACTTATATGGTTCTTACTCTTCTAAACCAGCCCAGGAAATCTCCCATTCTTCTCTGTTTGCACCAAAACCGTCATGGCATCGTTGTTTCTGCCTCATGCCCTTTAGCTCTCCCTCTGCAACCATTCTGCTTGTAGCAGCTAATAAATCCCATGCTTTTGGTATTTAGAAAGTTGCTCTTGGTTTTGTGATAGTGCTAAGTTGACATTGACAGGCATAGGGTAAAGAACAGAGGTAGGGACACCCCCGCCCCCTTCACTCCATGAGCAGAATGTCTCCTTGAGTTTGAAAGTCCTTAGGATCCTACACTGCCCAAGACACCTAGGCCCAAGCTTTCCTTTATGCCCACCCATTTGGTTACAGTCCCAGAAAAGCTGCTTTCTTATTTCTCTCCTGGTGACTTCCAAGTGAATTATTTCTCTTGGCATAGAACTCAATTCTATGTCAGGCTAACTCTTTATATAAAGAGAAGAGAAAAGGGGCCGGGCATGGTGGTTCACGCCTGCCATCCCAGTACTTTGGGAGACCGAGGTGGGTGGATCAACTGAGGTCAGGAGTTTGAGACCAGCCTGATCAACATGGTGAAACCCTGTCTCTACTAAAACTACAAAAAAAAAAAAAAAAAAAAAAAAAAAAAAAAAATTAACTGGGTGTGGTGGCATTCGCCTATAATCCTAGCTACTCAGGAGACTGTCAGGAGAATCACTTGAACCCAGGAGGCGGAGGTTGTAGTGAGCCAAGATTGTATCATTGCATTCCAGCCTGGGCAACAAGAGCAAAACTCCATCTCAAAAAACAAAAAATAAAAAAATAAGATAAGGAGAAGATGTCACTGACTCAGAGGTAATGGTGCTGGTCTCATCCAACTGCAGATATTATTTCACGTTACCTGCTTGTTAATAAAAGCTGAATTTGGGATGCATCTCAGAGTACGCTTGCAAACAAGGCATCAGGCCATTCAGCAGGTCAGATTCTTCTAACAAACGTCCGCAGGTATACACCTGTGACACCTCGAAAGTAACTCATATCCTGAAGCCTTAGGCAATATTAGCTAAAAGTGATGTACGTTAATTAATTCAAAGAATCTTTAATTTAAAGTCACCTTTGCCATGACTAATCATCTCAAAGGAACAGCTTTTATTAAACAGCTTTTTGCAAGTGGACATTTTTCAAACATTGGGAATCCCGGCAGGGCCCAATTAGCACATTGGGTTATTTAGATAATCCCCACACTCTACCGAAATGCAACTTTTCGTCTTTAACTTCTCGTTACATTCCAACACTACCTGTTTTGATGAGCTATCAGTTTTTTGTAATCAGCCTCATATTCATTCTAGGGATGATTTTCATATTTATCAACAATTCTTTTCTAATTTATGCTGAGCCCTGACAGGATTTTGGAAAGTCAAAGATGAACTACACAGGATTTTCCCCAGAGTTATTCACAGCCAGTTGGGAGGCATGGACATCAATTATGGTTCAAAGTGATTAGCAGAAGTTTAGGTCTACGGGGGCACAGCAGCAGGTACAAGCAGAGGTCCAGGGAAGGGGCAGAGAAAGGTGACATCAAGGAGATCACATTTAGTTTGAGCCTTTTAAGGTGATATAAGAATTCACTAGGTAGGAAAAAGAATGTATTCATTATAGGCAAGAGCCATAGAGTGGAAAGACACCTGGAAGAAAATGCCAATGGGAAGGAGGTTACAGTGAGGGTCTAAGGAGCGAAAATGAGGAGCAAGCGAAGGTGCATAAATGAGGGGTCTGTAAGGGGAAGACGGGCATGATCAGATTCAGGTGTCAGAAAGGGACCTTGAACCGAGTCTCTTTGGATTCTCCTTTTGCATCTCCTGAACTGCAGACATCAGGATTCAATCATTTTTTAGAAGCTTAAAAAAAAGTTCAGGCTTAAACTTGACATCATGGTAGAATATGGAAAGAAAAAAGAAAAAGAAAAAAGAGTTCAGGCAAGATAAATTCTTATTAAGGGAGTGTTTGAGGCACCTGTGGCAGTGTTGCGTGTTAGAAGAGGTGGAGGGAGGATGGCTAGGCTTTGCTTCCCTGATGTCCTACTAGGAACGGTTCCAGAGCTTTTGGTAATGACAGTGACTGGTTCCCTGGGTGGGGTTAGGGAGGGCAAAGAAGCCAGGAGAAGAAGCCAGAAGAGCTGACTAGTGGTGAGACCCAGGCATCTCCCTCCTTCCACCCCCGTTTCTTCACCTGTATGCCCAGTATGGTTTGAGCTGCATCATCTTCAAGTTCCCTTCCAGCTCCAAAACATTGGGCATAAAACAACACATCACTTCCAAACTCACTCTGAACACTAAACTCCATTTCAATCAGACATCATTTCAGTTCGAATGGTTTGCCTTCCACTTTCTGTTTTCTACCTCAGATGCCTGGGGAGACCACATGGAGAACACCCAGGGAAGGAGAAATTGATGGGGTGGGGTGGCCGGGTGCTGGCTGCTGACCTCCAGGGAGCTGTCACATCTGTTAGATTGTGGCGGATGTCCCCCATTCTATCTAAAGAACTGTAGCTCGAGAACTTTCCTTTTGCGTGAAATACTGCCCTACACTAGAAGCAGTCTGACAGAAACAATGGGCAGCAAGTGTATTTACCCAAAGGCAAGTCAGCAAGAGAGGCAGCGGAGGGTGCTCCTGCTTGTTGTAGCAACTAGCAACGGTGTAAATCAGTTGTTCCTTTTAGCTCATAATAATGAGATTCAGTATTTTGTTTTCTCCAATACCTTTGATTGGCTTCAATCATATTAATTTTTCAAACAAATCTTCATTAGGAACAATCAATGCAAAAAAAAAATCTGAAAAAGTAACAAGATTCAATAAAAGTAAATGAAAGACCTTACTTGATGTGTTAGAGGGAGTACCTGGTAAACACTTTCCTGATTCCTTTTTGTTTTTAAGTGTATATCTTTTCTTTAGTATGCTTTCTAGTAGTGAATTTTCATACTCCAGTTTTTCCAGGAGATTTTAGAACCAACAGATTTCTCAGCCTACACTATTAAAAAGCAAATTAATCATGTCTCTATTTCATCCGATTGAAGCTTTTTTTTTTTTTTTTCCTTTTTAACATGAAGTGCCAAAAATGTTTATGGCTTTCTTAATATGCCCGTTAAAGCTGGTAAATTACAGGGACCCACACATCTTAGAAGACAAAGACTGCAGGAGGGTTAAATGAAGCGAGAGAGCTGGAGCCAGATTCGACAGCTGCAGCGAAGTCCCCCCTCCATCCCGCCCCGCAAAAAAGAGAGTTCTAATTTTCTCCACTTCTTTCACAGAAAGGATTAGACTTTCTGGGTGTCACCCTCCCCGGCAGAGTTCTGTAGCCTCGAGCACCCTACCAGCCTTCTCGATCCTCCTTCCCGGCAGTGGGAAGGGGAGGCGGCTTACCCCGGCCGACGGGAACGAGCGCGATCACCAGGGCGAAGACCAGGGCTGCGCGGGGAGCCTGCATGTCCATTCGCCTCGGCGGCGAGCTCAGGATGCTGCGCCGGGCTGCAGCCTCCCTGAAACGTGAACATTTCCTGTTTCCTGCTTGTTTGGGTCGGTGCTAACTTGAAGGAGAGGTGTTTGCCTGTTTTTTAGGAAGTGATGTAATTCTGCAGGAGCCTGTCAGACCAGCAAGGATTGCAAAAGAGAAGTTGCTGTTCAAGCACGGATTCAGTTAGCACGCCTCTCCAGCTCTTTGGAGTCCCGGCCTCCAGCTTTTGAAACCGTCCCGGGGCAACAGTGTCCTTTGCTCGGATGTCATTCGAGATCTGGGACTGGGAGAGGTCCTGGACCACGTGCATTCTCACTCTGTGATTTTGCTCATCCTCCAGGTGAGGCTCCAGGGCTGCCTAGAGCCTAGGGACATGCTGTCCAGTAGAACTTTCTGCCATGGTGGAAATATTCCAAGTCTGTGCTGTCCAGTACAGTAGCCATCAGCCACCATTGGAAACGAGGCTAGTGCCTACGGAATTTTAAATCTTACTGAACTCCATCCACGTGGCTAGTGGCTACTGCGTTGGACAGCGCAGGCCTAGACAGCAAGGACAACTGCATCATCAGAAAACCACTAGACTTCTCTCCAGCCTCCTTCCTCCAACCTTGAAAGCCTTCCTCCCACCAAGGCCCACGCCAGAAAAAGGTGGATGCCAAACCCACACCTGAACATTATGTTGGGCTTCCCCAGAGAGAAATGATCTTTCCAAGGTCCATTTCCAAAGGAGAATATGCTCTGAGGGTAGAGGGAGGGGTGAATCTGCATCTCACCTTCCTTTCTTCTTACTTGGCAATCCGTTTCTCAGACAACAAACAAAATAGGACTGAATTGAAATAGAATAAGGGTGGAAATCCTACCCAGTCGAAACCACACAGGAAGGCAGTATTTAGTATCCAGGGGAGATCAGCATGTGTTCGGCATTCTGTTGGAGGCCTCTCCCTTGCTTTAGGTCTAGGGCCTAAGCATACAGGATGCAGTTTCATAATTGTGGTGCCAAGAGAGACAGACAGATGGAGAGAGGGGTAGTGTTGAGGCAGCAGACACATCTCATCTCTAAACCTTTCCCTGCAGATTACCATCTGAGTCACCACTTCCCGTTGCCTGTCTTCAGTGATCTGGTTGGTGCAAACACGTGAGGTGACTGGAATTCCTTAGCCCCTGACATGGCTGTTAATTTTTTTCTTTAATGCATTGCTGCTTTTCAATGTCATTAATCATTGTTTATCTCAGTTCTTATCCACAAGAAACAGGTTGATGATTCATGTAATGATCAGCTTGTTGATCGAGTTACAGTATGCATTTTAATGTTTTAAACTGGCGATTAAGTCAACTCTTGATAAAATATGCTTTTTGCACCACAGGTGACAGGACAGAACAAACAGCAGGAGAAAATAGACATGCTCAAAACTGGATGATTGATTTGAAAACAACAGAAAAGAACTGTTAATTAAACACTTGCTGAGCATGTGAATAGACCACAGGCTCCAAGACCCGCTGGTGCTGAGTTGGGGTGGCAATTATTCCTGTACAAGCAAGCGTTTTCCCAGCTGTGACACACACGTGCAAGAGAGCAGGCCCAGGGCTTGGAAGTTCTCTTCATTTTACCATGTATGCCCTATTAAACATTATTAAATGTTATTAAAACATTGTTGAATCCCAGGCTGGAGGCCAATGTTTGGCAAGGGAAAGATTGTCAGCCTTCGTTTCTTTAATCTCCAACTTCAGCTCCCTGTAGAAGCTTTTTCAGTCAAGTAACTATGGATTGGACCACAGACTGTCTTATTCTGTGGCCCTCTGCTGAGCCCCATGGTATGGCCAAACAGTTCATTACAGTTTCAACAAGTGTGCTATGCATTGCATCTGAGCAGTGTGACACTAAATCAGAAGGGGGTATAAAATAAACCAGGGCTGCAGAGAAATCCTGCCCAACCATGTAATTTTCTTTTGACCCTTGCACTCTCTAAGACTCTTAGCATGATTAAGCTGATCTTAGGGGAAGAAAATTACTATCATTGATCAGAACATGGTAGCACCTCAATGATCTCTTTGCTGCAGTTAAAATCCCAGGGAGGCCGTGTGTTACGTAAAGGGCTATTTACCTCTGTTTTAATGTTTGCAACCATTAATTTGGGCAAGTAGCCACCTGGCCTCAGATTAAATCCTGATGAACTGGTGGCAGGAAGTCAGGGCCTCAGCACCAGCTGTGGGGCATAGGGGAACCTGGGAGTGAGTGGCACACAGGTAGAGGTAATGCCACTTTGGAGCCTGCCATTGGCTGTCTGAAAGCAGGAAAGAAATATGGTGCTTCATCACATTCAGGAGGGCAGGAAAGGACACTGGTTACCACGTCTAGGGACTCTTTGTTACTTTCCACAAAGGAGTCTGACTTTTACAATCAACTGCACTGCCAGAAGTGACTATCATCCAACACCCCTCCCCCACCTACCAACTCCATGGGCCATAACAGAAGAGGATTCCAACAGAACAAATCCAGGCAAGTGACAGAATCTTCCAGTGAGCGCAGGTGGCCTTCCCCACATTCCTCTTTACACTCCAATCCTGCCATTCCCAGTACACACAGATATGCACATGCACTCAGATATACACACAGTTGCCTCTCACACACATTCATGTACATGGTGGAAATAAATGAAGACTAACCAAACGAGAGCAAGCAAATAAAACCAAGCAATGGCTATTTAATTCAGAGCTTGCCATAGCAAGGAGGTCAGTCACCATCACTGCATTTTGGCAGAGACCCAAAGGCAGGCCGAGGCGTGAGAAAACAAAAATTTCTCAAGTTTTATCTATCATGCATAAAAATCCCCTCAAATATTACAAATGCAGAGTCCTGGACCTCAGCTCTAGTGATTCTGACTCAATAGTTCTGGCATAAGGTCTAGGACTCTTCATTTTAATGAGCTCCCCCAAATAACTTTATAGTGGATAAAAGGAAGCCTGGGCATGGTGACTCATGCCTATAATCCTAGCACTTTGGGAGGCCGAGGCAGGTGGATCACCTGAGGCCAAAAGTTCAAGACCAGCCTGGCTAATATACTGAAACCTCATCTTTACAAAAATACAAACATTAGCCAGGCATGATGAGGGGGGTACCTGTAATCCCAGCTACTTGGGAGGCTGAGGCGGGAGAATCGCTTGAACCTGGGAGGCGGAGGTTGCAGTGAGCCGAGATCCCGCCATTGCACTCCAGCCTGGGAGACACAGCGAGATTCCATCTCAAAAAAAAAAAAAAAAAAGGGAAGGCTCAGATATGCCTTGAAGGGAGGCTGCTGGCATGGGGAAGCAGCAACCAGTTCTAGTAATCAGTGAGGGGTGCACATTTGGCTGCTTCTAGATCAGAAGAGGAGATAGAAATTAGGGAAGCTGTCATAGTTCTCTGACCTCCTGCAAGTGTGATTTCTAGCAGGCTAGCTTCCTGGACTTGCTCTTGAAGATAATGAATTGGTTTCCTGGGTGGGTTGCTGGGTTCTGTTTTTGCATGATTTGGCCATTGTCCATTTGTACATCCAGCCTCCCAACACACACCCACAGGCACACTCACATGCTCATAAATGTGGACACATGCTCACACACACACATTCTCACATCGACACTCACACACAAATGTTCTGGGGCTTCTTTCCCTGTCTAAATGCCAGCTGGTGGCAGTGAATGGCTCCTGGGTGTTTGGCTGCTATGGGCTGGCCCTCAGACAAGATGACGGTAACATCAGATGTGGCCTGTGTGTCATGCTGAAGACAGTTAAGAAGATGGGAGGAAGCAGATTGAAGTCCCAGGTTCTGAAGGAATGCCCAGAGAGGTGGCCAGGCAGGGCAGAGGCTGGGGCAGAAGGGTTAGGCTGAAACTTAGGGTACACAGGGAAGCCACCGTCAGGAGAGGGGCTGACAGTAATTTCACTGCATGTGAAGCAGGAGCAGCTGGAGCCTGCACAGCCAGGTTCATCTCCATCAGCCCATTCCCACCCTTGGGGGTCTCTGTCTCTGCATCCTGGCCGCCAATACTAATACTCTTCAGAGAAGCTGTTGCAAGGTTTGGATAATCCTAGGGGCTTCCATGACAGGGTCTTCCAGGGCCTAGGCAGATGGCCTGATCACCACAACAGGAAACTGTAAAGGATTGTGATTAGGAGCTGAAGAGGCAGTTGACACGTGGAACAGAGTGCAGCGCTCTGGTCTAAAGGCTGCTGTGATGCATCTGAGAACAGGCAGAGCATCGGTTCACGGGTGAGCATCCGCGGTCCTCCTTCAGCTTCTCTCTGAGAGCAAGGGCACTCTCTGTCTTGTTCTCCAGCCTATCCTCAGCTTTTAGGATAGAGAACAGAGAAATGAGTAAGTTGGAGGGTGGGACTCCCTTTGCAGCAGTATTTTTTAAAGTGCACTGGAGGGGGTCACCTATGTCAGAATTATTTGGGGGAGCTTGTTAAATGCAGAGTCCTGGCACCTGTGTCAGAACTATTGAGTCAGAATCGTTACAGCTGAGGTCCAGAACTCTGCATTCGTAATGTTCGAGGGGACTTATGCATGGCAGATAAAACCTGAGAATCATTTGTTAGTTAGTTCCTGGAAATTATTGCTAGCTCCTAGAAAGGTTCCTTTTCTCGAAAGGTAAGAAATAAAAAGCATATTGTATTTTCCTGTTTTGCCTTGACTGCCAGGAAGCCTGGAACTAAAAATTTAAGCTTGGTTGTGTAACTTGTATTAGCTGAGGTGTCTTTACTATTTCCAGGAATATTTCTTTTCCTGGCTAACTCTCACTCATCTGTCTAGACCTAGTTCAGGAGACATCTCCACCAGGGAGCTGTCTTGGAAGCCTTCCTCCTCTCCCTAACCCAGGCTGAACAAAAAGTGCTCATCCTCTACTGCCACCCACATAACACCCCTCAGAATACATCCAGAAGACCTGGCTGTGTCTCCGTCTCCCCGCTTTGATTACCCTGGTCTTTCTCATCTGTGGTGTCCTGCATCTGTGACAAGGAACTAGATGTTCTTCTACTGGTGTTTCGTTTTTGACTAAATCATATCTTAAGGCCTTTTCCCTTCAAGTCTCTCCAAATATTTT